ACAATGACGAGAGTGTACGAGAGGGGTATATAAGGAATGGTGGTAAAGAAGTAAAATTGTTCACAAGCGCTTTAAAAGCCTTTCAGTGCAATAACCGCATAGTTATAGCACAAAGGAAGCATTTGGATGATTTTTTACGTGGTAGAATTATTGGACGACTGGAATGTGGACGTACCCAGCAGAAAGTATCCGAGGAACTTGGAATCACCCCCAGTGTCATCTCCAGGCTTTAGCAACGATTCCAAGATGATGGTAATGTAAGTAGATGTTACAGCACAGGTCGCCCCCCGAATTACAACGCCGAATGAGACCTGTCTTGTCAGCTCTCTTCAGCTACTGGTACGATAGTTTTAAGGCAGACCGTGTACAGACGCTTAGGGCACATTGGTCTACATACTCGTAGGCCTGTCAGATGTGTTCCACTTACCGCAACTCACTGTCGCCTGCGATTAACCTGGAGTAGAAAGCATGCATTGTGGACACCACAACAGTGGTCTTGTGTGATATTTTCCGACGAGTCCAGGTTTAGTTTGCAGTCTGATTTTCGCCGGACTTTAATATGGAGAGTGCCAGGTACCCGTTACCACCAAGAGAACACCAATGAACGGCACCGTTACGGAGGTGCAGGATGGCTCGTTTGGGGAGGAATTATTCTTGGTTCCAGAACTGACCTGCATGTTCAGAGAGTAACGATGACACGCCACATCTATCGAGATGTCATTCTGGAACAACATGTACGTTTGTTTCGGGGTGCCATGGGTGCTGAATTTCTGTTTATGGATGACAACGCCCGTCCTCACCGTGCAAACATTGTAGACGAATGCCTTCAATCGGAGAATATCACCCGTATGGATTGGCTAGCATACTCACCGGACTTGAATCCAATAGAGCATGTGTGGGATAGGCTTGGCCGACGAATTGCAGCCCGTCAACCCCCTCCTACCTGTCTACCGGAACTTCGGAGGGCATTGCTTGATGAGTGGTGTAATATTCCCCAAGATCAGATTGATAATTTGATACTCAGCATGCCTAGGCGTTGTAAGGCCCGTATTGCATCGTCCGGGAGACATACTCCGTATTAACCATCATACTAACCATGTTATACTGTTTTTTGTAAGTAGGTTCTTTTTTGAAATTTTCTCCAGGGAGTAAAAATTGCAATTTTTATTAATTATGTCAAACATATAGCATCTTTTTTGCTCTTTACCTTTTGTTTAATAAATAGACTTTACAAATAAGTCAAATTTGTTTTGCTTCTGTCTCTTTCTTTGCCTGAACTTCATTATCCTTAATTTATGGACATGAGTGTATTTATATATATGAAATATTTTTATAATATTTCTGGAGAGTGTGAAAAAATAATTGTAAGACGTAGCGAGCGGATGCTATTACCATAGCGAACCAAAGATAGGGCGTGGCCGGTGGTGTGATTTTCTATGTTACGTGGAGCGTGGTCGAATACGGTATTATCGAAGAGGCACTCCTGTAAATCATTATTATTTTTTATTCACATCTAGAAACACATAAAGATCCAGTAGGGATAGCATTACACATAAAAAGAAGCAAACATCATGGCACAAATACATACACAGACCGCGCTGCAGCCGGCTAATTACATGATGAAGGAAGGCAAACAAGAGAGAGGAGAGCTCGATTACGCAAGACTTTTGGTTTTATACCTACAGTACAAGCATGTGATAATTACGTGATCGTAGTTCTGATTGGATAGAATGGGCGGGACAGGGATTTCAGACTAGCCAATTACGATTAAGATTACAATGTTAATTTTAAACCAAAGAGTTAAAGATATTTTAAATATTAGTTCAAAGAGTTAATAAAAAGGATACTAGTGGGAATTATTATATATATATATATATATATATATATATATATATATATTATTATATATATATATATATATATATATATATATCTTGTTCAAATTTTCAATCGTTCATAAAATATTTTCTATTCATCCATTCAAGTTCAAATTCATTTTTTAAGCTTATAAATGATTACACTTGATAGTGTAATACTTTTTTAAAATAATAATTTATTAATTAAATTTAAAAAACTAATAAAAATAGTAACAAATGAAAAGCATATCGTCGGTCTAATTATCAGACCGCGTAACTCCATCTGGGATGCTAATTTGATACAGTAGGGCTAGGCACCAACTTGTTGTTTATGTTCGCCGAGATAGGCGGTAATATTACTATCGTGAATTGCAAATTAAACACAAAAAAAGCTTTTTGCATATCTTAGCTGAACAAAAAAAAATATTGAATTTTAAGTCTGTAGGTTTAATAGCTGATAAAAAGGATTTTTTTTATTTATAACTTCCCGTAAATCTCTTGTGAGTTGATTTTTGAAAATACTTTATAAACTGATCTCTGCTCAATAAAAGTAACTCATTGTTACAAATTTTGTGTAATGGACGCTTAAAATAGTGTAAATAATTTATATCTGGAAGTGTAATACATTCATATTACTTTCTGTTGTATTTATTTTATGTTAAAATCGTGCCACCACCTCTCCTTTCGAAATCTTGTTTTATTATGAAATTAAAAAAATAGTGATTGTACTGATCGAAGAAATAAATTAAAAGTAGAGCGCGCACTGAGGCTTGGTGTAGACAAAACAAAATGGAATGTTTTGCTTCACCGCTGCTTGGCGCGATTCCTTAATCCTGCCAAGCAGCGCCAATCTTTTTGGAGTTGATTGGAAATATAAACGCGAATTTATATTCCCCAAAAAGACGCCTAAGAAGATTATTGGAAAGGTTCCGTACAGATTCGTCTCACATATTTACTATACTTAATGAGGCTAATTTGCAGTAATGTGATACCATAAATTTTATTAAGACAAGGGCCATCCTTTCAGCATTTTTTGCCAGAATTAAGCGAAAGGAGAATAATATTGGTCGTAATGAATTTTCTAGTCCCTTTATTCAGATTTTGAAACTAGGTACTTGGTCATTACCACAGAAGACAATGAATTACTATCATATTACAAGAGGAACTGATCGGAATAGGAAGTAATAGAGTAAAGTTTAGAAACAGATGTCAGCAACTTTGCTTTAAAGAGACATACCAGTTATTTACCTCGAGTTATGGAGTATTGGAGAAAGCTTTTAATTGCTTTTCCTAGTGAGAAGTTTCAGCGCGGTTGTCAGCTGGACACCACTAATCGAGGAAATTTAGGTTTAAACCTGACAAGATTGATAACAAATGTTGAAAATTTGTTATTGAAACACCGTAATCTTTCATATCATTATTAACATTTGTTTTTTAATCAGTTATTTTATGTATCACTTAAATTTTAAGTTAATTACCATAGGGATTTCTTAAAAGTTTTAAATTCTATACTTCTGTACAGTTAGAAATTTATATTATTTAAAATAAGTAGCTGTGTACCAGCTGTCTTAAACACATTTAAGTTAATAAATTTGCAAAAATTCCATATTAAGCAAGCAGGGGTCTACCGCAAACCGAAAAACATGGCAAGGGGTCTACGAGACAAAAAAAGTATGGGAACCTCTAGTCTAGAAATACCGTATTTATTGAAATCTAAGCCGTGTTCCAAATTCTCAACAAGATTTTATGAAAATTGAAAAATAGTCTAAAACGGTTTTTCGATATCCAATTTTTTGAAATTAAAATAAATTTAAAAAGAAAACTAATAAGAATTGAATAATCAGTCATTTTATCAGTATTATAAACTTTTAAGCACATGCATGAAACTGTAATTGCTCTAAATACCCCATCCAACAAATTTTTTCCCTTCGATTCTAAGCCGTGCCCAATTTTTAGTAGCATTAACATTGGGGGAAAAGTGTGGCTTAGATTCGAGTAAATACGGTATTTTAAAAAAATATGGAGGGAAAAATCAAATCTTAAGAAGAAATTCCGTTGAATAGAAAATGCATTTCGCTAATTGGAGGTTATTTTACGAAGAAAATCGTAAAAGGTTATTGGCTCCAGAAAAAAGTTCGCTAAATAGAGAATTTCGTAAAATGGAGGTCCGAATGTATTGTTTTTTTTAAGTTCACTACATCTGTGACGAATCTGTACGGAACCTTTCCACTAATCTTCTTAGGCGTCTTTTTGCGTAATATAAATTCGCGTTTATTTCCAATCAACTCCGAAAAGATGAACGGGTTATTCAAATTAGATAAGGTATTTAAGTCGAGTGTTGTAAGCTAGCAAGGAGATGATGGAAGGCTATTGAGCCAGCAACTTTAACCGCAATATTAGAGGATTCCAAGATATTCGAATAGTGCAGAATTGCTGTGATTCTAAGGAAGTACCCGAACGCTGATATAGCCAGCGGTAAATATAATTTACTTACGCTTAAAAGAAGCATTAGTTTAGTCGAATTAGTTAAAGTTAATGAGAGTTAAGAATTCGAGTACGTGTATTTCTCGGATCTCCTATTTCTGTAGAACTTACTTGATCTTGAGCTAAATTATTAATTAATTGCATTATATTCATAATTTAATTTAATATAAAGGCAAATCCCTTTAGTTGACGTAACATAAACGTATTATATGTTATCAGAGATTTTTTGAGAAATTTTAATAATAAATAAATATTATTATTATTCAAAATGGCTCTTAGTGGTTCTTTGCCTCAAATTAATCTTGGTGTCCAAGGTGATACCCAGGGGGTGGGTCTCCACAAATAAATGTGTTAAAGGTAAAATCTGATTTCCCCCCATGTTTGATTAAATTTTCTTTTAAAATTAAAATCATGATCTGGTTTAGTGAGAACTGTCGTAGACCCCCACTTACACCTCATGCACCCCCAACTTATTTTTTTTGCTGTCGTGGACCCCTTACAAGTCGTCATAGACCCCTAGGGTTCTATATAGACAACTTTGGGAATCACTGTTCTAGACCTTCGTATGGTAGAATGATTATTAGGTCTTAGTGAAGGCGGTCACCTCAAAATGTCTTGGCGGTCCACCGGTCGATCGCGATCGACTTAATGTTAAACCCGGCTGTAGCACAATGGATAGCGCGTTGAACTTCTAATCCAAAGTTCGTGGATTCGAAACCCATCTGGAATGCCCTAATTTCTGAGGATATGATTTCCTTTTTACTGTACTATTTTATTAGAATAATTAAATTTCATCAATGAAGAAACATTAGCAAACAAAAAAAAATAGTCCAACACCCAATGTAGAAAAGGAAAATGGCAAAGAAAATCGCTTTCTATTTTGTCACTTAATAGCGTGATTATGTCATATGCTTATACATAGTTATATTAATTATAACTATTTAATGAAAAGTAACTAAAATAAAAAATTTCTTTGTTGACCAAAGTAGGAATTGACTTAATTATATATATATATATATATAACTTGTTTTAAAGTTAAAAGTCAAAGTAATTATTGTTAGAAAAGAACAGGTATTTTAGCACTTTTTAACATTTATTGTGATGAGAGGGCACATATTAAATTGTTACAATAAAAAAATATCAGGTACATTTAACAGCTTCTTAGTATTTATATTTTTAAGAAACTTGCTGTCTATAATAATAGTGTACTATAATAATAGAGCTCGGCAAAGAGAAAGACGGGAAAAAGCTTGGATCGAACTGATTCGACAGTGTAGGGAGAAACAGCTAAGGTTATGAAATGCTGCAAAACTTACATTGTACTATTCGTTACTCTGTATACTTATCTCTCTGTATACTACTCTGTATACTTATCTCTCTGTATACTTACTCTGTATACTTTGCACTTATCAACAATCATCGTTTTTGTCAATTTATATTGTAGAAAAATAAGTTTATTTTTAAATCTAAAATCATCTAATCAAAATTGTCTTTTTCCATTTTTTCGAAAATTCAATCCTTGTGTGTGTGTGGCAGTATTAAATTTTTAAATTATTTTTCTTTTTATCTCCATTCCGTAGAACTACTTTTCCACCTCCGTAGGTTAAGATTAATAATTTTTCCTCTCTTTATATATAACCGAGATCCTTCCCCCAAAATTTAACCTTGAAGTATGGTACCTTACTTAACAGTTACTTTATTCCATCTTTCCCAAAAAAGAGATAAAAATAAAGTCGGATGTCATGTTATACAGACGAAGCCCAAGTTCTCGTGGTAGTATAAACAGATTTCGCGTTATAGCAAATAAGAAGTATGTGTATTTGAAAAGATAGCAAACATACTTAAACCATAAGGGGGGAAAAAGAGAAAGTTCTTTTTTATGAATAATTTTAAAGATAATCCTTCATAAGCATAAATTCTTAGTAAAATCCGGTTACAGAACATTGTAAATCAGTGCAAACGATTTTACTGAAAATGAAACCGGAAATTTAAATAGAGTTTTTTTTTAAAAAAATATCTAATTCAATAAGAATTTCAATGTCAAAATAAAAGAAAAAGTAGCCTATTTTTTAATGTTTTGACTCTAAATTAAAAAAGTGGTTATTTCACCGAATAAGCTTCAATTCAAATACAACACATCTATACTTCAATAACAAAAACAAAAGATAATTCCTGTTGGAGACACTTTACATTTACATTTAATAGGGAAAATAACAAATTAAAATGTGCTTTAGCTAATGTTGTCTTCCTGTATCATTTGCACATTTTTATTGTTTATTTTTTCATTTATCTCTTCCTTTTTGCGTCTCATTGAGTAAGCGAACATAACAACAACAAAAATGGATCACCATTCTGTAAATTTTTCATTTTTGTTTTTCATCTCTGTGAGTGTATTTAGTACTTCTACTGCTATTTAATTTGTATGATGCTGTTTAAATTTTGTTTGTCACGCTGCATCATCTAAAAGCGAGCACGCACAGATGAATTTAAAATGCTTACGTTGCGTTTAAAGCTATGAAAAACAGTTACTGTGTATATTTACATCTGTTTTTAAATTTTGATGACAACTTTTTAGAACAGCATCCAGAAAAAATATCTTACGTCCATGTACTAGGAAATAAAATGTCTTCCAATACTACAAAATGTGTTTAGCACTTCATCTTAGTTAATTGGAATTTTATTATTAACAATGATATTTTTTTTTGAGAAAATTAGAATAATTTCATGAGCATTCTCCATTTTGAAGGTATATGTATAGTTTAAAATGGAAAGCTTATATTTTAATTCTTCAGCACAAAAAAAGCAGTAGCAAATAACTTGTCATTCTTAATATATTCTACACAAAAACAATTTTTTTTATGTACAAAAATAATATACATAGATAGCTACTAAAACTTATGATTTGTGAGTCTTATTCTGTCTTTTTATTTTTTAAAATTGATAATTAAGTAGAACTTAAAGTTCGAAACGAAATTTTAAATTGTAAAAAGAACAATAGTTAAGACCAAATGATAATTTCAACTTAAAAGCGCACGGCTAATCAAGAATTTAATATCTACAGGGGGAAAAAAAATCTGAATTCTATAAATGGCAACACGCTAAAGAAGGAAACTAATGGTTTAAATGGCAACATTCATTTGAAAGGAAAATTGGCCAATAAAATGGAAAAATCAACAACGAATTTTTTTGGAAAATTGATTAAATATTGTAGCCGTGGGGTAGTTTAATTAATTAACTAATGGTATCGTTATACCAATTGAATACAGATTTGGTCCTAATAAACTCAAAGATTTTTTTTAAAGTTTCATAGATAGCGACACTCAAAATAACTTATTTTTGCATTGGCGTAATGTTGGTGTAGAAAATGAAGTGTCATTTTTAAAGTCGACTCCATATAACCTTGGCTTGAGTTGACAGTGACAAGCGGATTTTCGATATGAGCAGAAATAGTAAAAAAAAAAGGAATCATTCCCTAAATATAAATAATTTTTAAGCAGTAGTTATGGATTGTTAAGCATTATAATAAAAGAATAAAGAAGCAAGTTGGCAATTTGGCCACTTTTTTTACTTAAAAAAGAATGGTTAAACAGTCAATATTTACTGTAAACAAAATTCGGCTTAAACGAAATAGTTCACTTAAACCGTATCCTTTTTTAGATTTGTAAATTAAGTTTGAATGTTTTGTGTTCATTTGAAAGAAAAAAAACCTTTTTTAAAATCTTGATACACACACACACAAAACTAATTAACTCTTCAATTTGAAAAGAAAAAAAATGTTATAAATAGAGATTTCTTATGATTCAATATAAGGATATCTACAATGTAAAAAAGAAGGGGAGGGGGTTGTGTTGTTTCTAGATTTGCGAGAGACTTAGCCCTGAAGTTGCTCCCTTACCGTCTTGTCTACCTGAGGATGAGGCCGCGGTAGCCGAGTGGTATAGGTATCGGATCGTGGCTTGCTTGGTCACGAGTTCGTTCCCAGTACCACTAAAGAACCGCCGTGTAGGGCAGCGATGCACGTTAAATCTGTCGAGAGCTGAAACGTCCTCCCGTTGGTGTGGTGTGGCAGTTAGGAGAGGGGGTGCCAGCTCAGGTGTCGTCCACGTCACTTGACCATGGCTCAAAATTACGTCGTCCGTCACCAAAAGCCCTCGTGTAGCTGAACAGTGTGACGTTAATATTCAATCACTCAATCAATCTACCTAAGGGTGTAGGAGGAATAAAAGTAGAACCAGAAACTTCCATAATAACAATTATTTATTTACTCAAACACAATAACCAACAACACTTTAATCTCTAAGTGAATGTCAAAGGAGAAAACAACGTTAATTACAAACCTCCAATCCACTAATTTAATACAGTGACAAACACCACTATAAATCTTAAGCTGCGAAAATCAACTTTACTCAATCTCCCCTGCGTAGCGAATATAACAGTTTCTTACCTCCTTCTCCTATAACTACAAAACTCTGACTTTATATATAGTCGAACTAATCTAAATACTAAAGTTTCTTTTTGAGAATGATGGCTGTCAATTAAACGTGAATGCTAGCCCAAAGATTCCCCAAGAGGATTAGTTTAGAGGTCGCGTATAGATTCGACTCAGATTGAGCTCTAATTTAATCAACTGTTCAAAACGCTCATTTTTGTTTCGTTGAACGAAGATTTTTATCATAAGAAATGCCTGTCTATATTTAGAATAGCAATAATGTTAAATAATTTCTATATAATTGCATATAATTTGGCACCCAATTTGAATTTTAGATTATAACCACTTTCTATTCTAAAATTTTTGATAGTAGAAATTAAACATAATGACTCGTGTTCCAGCACACTTTACAGCAGGTATCTATTAACCTTTGCTCTCGAAGGCGTTTTTGAAAGATCAACATCAATTATGATTTATTTGCTTTAATTTAGTCATTTTAATGCAAGTTTTTAAAGTTTTTTAAAATTACAGAATTACAACTATTCTTCATAGCAACGGTTCTTGAACGTTTCAAAATTGTGATACGATTATATACGCTACTTAAAGATTGATTGATTAATTTATAAATATTAAACTGAAAACGACGTTAGCGTTTTTGATGGTGAATCTTGCAATTTTGAATATTAAAAAACTTCAAGAATATATGTTCATAATAGAATTTTTGAAATACTCTTAAAAAAAGTCATTTTTTAATAGAAAAATTAAACTATTACTCAATTAAATCACTTTTAATTGTTTAGCTATTTATCAAAAAGTACACCTAAAAAATTGTAAGTTCAATGACATGTAAAATGTTGAAACTTAATGAAATAAATTTAATGTCAGGAAATTTTTTAGGCTTACAGCATTGTATATACATAAAAAATGATAATAAATTTTGGTTAAATAATTCAATGATCTATAAACTTTTTTAATTCAGATGGAACTTTTTCATTTGTAAAAGAAAATAATGAATTACACGTGAATAAATTGAAACATGGATTTTTACCGTTTATTTAATCAAATCTATCTTATCATCATCTAATTTAGTTCAGTTATTTTCTCTTCACTGTGTTATAATTAATTATTTGTTAATTTACAAATGTAATTTATAAAACTTTTGACTAAAGATCGATTAATGTATCCGACTACGTTCGTAACCATGGTTTTGCAACAGCTTATAAATGGATAATATTTATGATATTTAGTGTCACTTAGATTAGAAAATGTACATAAAATTGTTTTAAGAATAGTATTACAAT